ACGACCACAAATATGCTCACCAAAAATTGTGATGAAGAACTGGACAATTCAGAACTTCTCAAGTGCATAACCTAATGTACCTCCATTTAAGGAGGCCTCTGGTCAGCCAAGCCAAAATCTTGATGGAAATGTTTTGCAGCGTGAATAAATTGTCTCAAAATAAAACAAAGGAGTGAATATATCAGAAGTTAAAATACATACTTTATTTAATGTATAGTCCTGAACAAAGGGAACTTACAGTAGGCTATAAAAGCTGATTTTTCTTTTAGAGCACAGCTGGTATAACACAGCACATTTTTTTTTGTAACAGCTCAGTGGGAATATTTCTGGATATGTAGATGGATTTGAAAATACAAAAACTCGTGGTAAAATTTTATGTTATATGGCTACATATCTGGTAGGTTAGATGAGATGAACTCAGATCTTTCAGAAAGGCCAAAGCATGCAATGCTGCATCTAACAGAAGGGAGGATAGGGTAYCAGGAAAAATTTCTTCACTCCAACCATTCTGTCTCTGRGCAACTGGAAGGAACATGCAACTGGCAGATCATTACCCACTGAGGGGTATTTGCATTGTAGGCAAATTGTCCAGCCACATCAAAACCAAATCCCACTGAGACTATGTGTAGGTTCAGAGCAGCATTCAAAATGTTTATTATTCTCCATATTCCTGGAATTTCTCAATTCAGGCTGAATCTGGACACTTCAACAGTATAATAATGTTTTGTTTTCTGAATAAAGGATTAATAAACAAAAAAAATTTCCAAACTGTATATGCAAAACTTTCCTGCATCGTACACTATTTTGTTGTTATAATCTTCAGAAAATAATATCCACCTAGTTGAACTGTTGACAAAAAGCAGTGAAATGGATCAAGTCACAAGAGTGCTATGATAYCTAGATAAGCAGCTAGTGAGGAAATTTTAGTAAGGACTTTCCCAGGTCTCCTGTCTACATTGGCATATATCAGGCTTCATCTAGAGTTAAATAGGCAAGAATCCATTACAGAGAAAGTCCATGGCATAATCAGAAAACAATCAACACTTTTTCTAATGCTGATTTCTTCTTCACTTTAAACTGCTTCATTGACTTTAATTAAACTTGCCCTAGGTTATGAATCTAGCAACTGCAGAAACATTTGAAAATTAAATAAAATAAAAGCATCTTTCTTGTCTGAAGGGTTTTTGCTTAGCTGTATCACACTTCTGACTTAGAGGATTTTTTAATGATTAGAAATGCTGTATATGATACTGCAAGACTGCTGGCTTTGCTCTTGAATTAAAACGACCWCCCACTCCTCAGTAAGAATCACAACATTAAATTGTTGAGATTCTCTCCACTGTTCTTCATTGCAGAATTCCTCTGCTGGTTTCTGAGAAATGGTGTGATGCTGTCACCACAGAATTACACCAGCCTTACTCCCAATTTTCTCTAAGGCTTACACCAGCCCTACTCCCAATTTGCTCTAAGGCCAAAGGAAAGGAATGTTGTATATTTAGAATACGGGAAATTTTCATAGCTCAGGCCAAGGTTAAAAGCACATGACACAGACTTTGGGGGAATACAGAGATGGCCTGTGTCCYGCCCCAGCCTGGGCCTGGCTCATAAGAATATGACCAAAATTCCCAAGAATGAGAGTGAATGGAAGAACTTACAAAACATAATCATCAAGAGAAAAGAAGGTGGAACAACCATGTCAAATATATTCCATCCTGGAGTCATCTCGTTTCATTAGATGMAAACACCACTTCATTAAAACTCTAAATAAAATAAAATCTGGTCAAAGATGGGCCCAGTAAAGAATTAGGAAAGTCCAAGAATTAATTAATTATTTTTACAATTTGCTTTGCCTCTATTTTGAGTTACTCTCCTTTTCTCCTCCAAGGAACTTCCTAGAGACAACTGAGAAATGTTCAAAAGCTGTACCTTTTATATCTAGAACAAGCAAAATATATTTTGGAAATATTCCAAATTTTGCTGAAATAATATGAATTACCTGCAACTGCGTACATGTCTTGGTGAAGTACCATAGAGTATTGTAGTTTAATCTGGGGTTCAAAAGACTTGAATTCAGTTTTTAAATAGCTCTTTTATTTCTTCTTTTTTTTTCAGACATCCACAGATGTCTGAAAARACAGAATTTCTGTGTGTCAGAAGGCTACTATCTATTATTCTTAAGYTATTACCTAAACATCYTCACTAAAGTCCAAAGAAAGATCTTCAMAAAAGTCTGTGACACCAGGATCAACCACATATATCTGYAAATTTAACATATATAAGACTTCTACAACAGAATATCTAAAAAATATAGTAATTGTCATTTGTTATACCTTGAATATGTACATAACATTGATGAAACTTGAAGAGTTTTCCAAACAGTGCAAGCAATCTATAATGACAGACAACTCTGCTTATGTCCACTCAAGCTGTTTAACACCACAACAGAATTACTCAATAGTTTATGGACATTTTCCTTCACCCGTCTTTGAGAACTTTCCATTAACTTCAATAGATGCCAAAACAGGCCCAAGAGCAGGAAATGAAGAAATATACTGTACCCAAATGAAATCACTGTGGGAATTTAGGTAGGCAGAATGTAATTATTCACACTTGATTCTGGATAGAGCACTAGGTTTATATCCCCATTCTGGCAAACATATGAGATATATAATAATCAAGAGGAACAGGGCTGCTGGCTTTCCTCTCAGTCAAAAGAAAAGAATAAAGAAGGAGAATGAGCTGCTTGCTTAACACTGAATAAAAGGAAGGAGTGATACTTATTGCATCATCTGCAAGACTTGCCAAGAAACAAAATGTATTAAGTAAATAATCACATTTGAAAAATTAAATATTTGGTTCCTTGCTGGTGCTAATGGAAATATATGGTTTTCTTTCTTTTGTGTTCATTCCTAGGGAAAAATCTCTGGAAATAAGTGTCTGCAAAATACTGATACTTATCATTTCTATATTCATTGATATAGATGAGGACACCAAGAAGCACTGAAAAAAAATGGATTCTCTTGCAAATGTACTGGATTGTAAAATAACAAGAAGTTTTAAATCTTGTAATAGAACTGCATTAYATTCTAGCAAAGTGGATCCATTTCTGAGGTGGAACATGACAGCTTTTTAACTTTCTACAACAATATGTGACAGAAGAATACTATATTCAGTTGATACTGTAGGGTGATTTATGGAGGCAGAATGTAATAATATRAATTGAGTTTCAGAAAGACACTGTGACTAATCTTACAAAAAATGCTATGGGATGTTTAATAATCCTGGTGGGTCAGAAGTTGTTCTTCAAAAAAATCTCTTAAGACTGATTGTTATTAAAGTATGTACCGCATTTGGTTCATTTTTCTTTTAACTATGTAGCCTAAAACTGCTGTCAAGTGCAAATATTTGAGTTGTAATTGGATACCCATACAAATGGAATAGAGCCACCAAACCTCAATGAAAATTACAATCATAGAATACTTAAGATACATACATAGTAAGAGCACTTTGAAGAGCCCTAAGACAAGCATCTGTCCACATCTTTTGAGGTCTACCTAACAGTACTCATATTGTCCCATTAATCAAAAACAAAGCAGCAGGAATAGGGCAGCACACTACAACTCCTTCTTTGCATTCGCTGTGTAACCCTCCTCCATTGCCTCTCTTGAGCATTTCAGGCTATGGTGCTTATGAAGCCATGAGTGGCAATTCTGAGAAGACTTAAGTGAGCAGAGAGGAGGGGAAGACATAACATATATGGTTGAAGGGCTTGACTCAAACCCCTCAGAAATTACCSAAGTCTGTCTTTTACTAACCAGGCSTCTGTGCCAGTCCTAGCAGAGAAGCAGAGCAGTTTTCACAGTGTGTCTCTGTCTGCAGAAAGACTGTGACTGCAAGTGTTTGTAGCCCTGGTCTGGGCCAACATGGTTTCACAAGATGAGAAAGGAACAGATGCCATTCCATGGTCTGACGTACACTAACACCACACCGGGCAGCGCTCCTGCCAAGGCTCTGTGGGACGGGACCGTGCAGCCCCCACGGGATGGCCGGGCCTGGGCTGGCAACCGGGGCTTGTGCCACTCCTGACAGGGCAGGAGTGACATMCCCTGACCCGGGCATGTGCTGAGGCACAGAGATGGGCCAAGGTGGGCAACATGTGGGAATGGGCCGAGATGTGGGAATGGGGACGGGCCCTGCTGTGTGTCTGAGGCTGACAGGAGCTGGACAGGGCCAGGGAGCCTCGAGGCCAGTGAGGCCTGGTGGTGCCMTCAGGGCTGYGACACTYAAAAATAATAYAAAAATAAAAATACCTCAAACAAATCTTACACTTTTTACATMATTTGGTTTCATAGGGCTTCCCATYTTTCCMCTSTGTATTTTCCCCAGCATTTTCTTATGATTTAAAGTYGACTTAGCCATAGCTTTCAGCACTGCAGGCAGCTCTTTTCAGGTCACCCTTGTTAATGAGAACAAATGAAAAAGTATATTTGTGCATTTTCAGAGGCTGTCCAAATGGGCTGAGATCCACTTACATGGCATCCTTTCCTTGGCTTCACAAAAAAAACAATATTTTTCTAACTCTGGAAAATTTGCTCCACCTAAAAGTTTGGCTAACACTTGCRTTTTCATCCCAGATTTTGGGTTTCCTATAATGCTATAAAGTTTTTGTTAATCAGCCCACAAGTTCCTTAAAGAATTTTTCTCAGAAKGGTAAATAGCAACATGTTTAATGTATACGGTGTGTCAGGTTTGGTCCCARTATCTTTGCTACGGCTCTCAGCCTTTTCCACCACACAATACACTATGTGGCAAAGACCACCCAGCAGTTYTCTTTTTCAGTGTATTTCACATTACCTCTTTGTTAAGTTTAGTTGTAGACTTCAACTCCATAAGGTAAAATATTCCTAGATACTTAATAGCCTGTGGTTTTCAATCTATATTTAAACCCTGCCTTATCCACCGATCGTACAATATGTTCAGGRACATAAACTCCAACTTACCTCAGTTGATTCGGCATTCAGACACGCTTGCAAAATTCTCAGCTAGCTTCTACAGAGTTTTTATGTTCTAGGAGCTGAAATAAAAATACCATTTATACTGTATGATACTTATTAGAGATGAATGAACAATGTATAGCAAATAACTTAGAAAACTATTGTTTACTAAATATCCATAAGCTGATGTCTTATAATGATTTGGTGATTTCTTTGAATTTTTTCAACATTCTTCAGTTCTTACAGTTTTTATTCACTGTTTTTCARCTTAGATATTTCAAATGTTCAATAGTCATTAGCCAATCTATGTAGTATAGCTCTCATAAATGTGAGTAGCAGTTTTTTAAATTTTCACTAGGAAAATTTGAGCCTATAACTCTGGTGATATTAGCATTTGTCTTGGCTTTGAGAAACGTCTGTGTTTTGACAAACGGCTTCTGAACAATTACAACCACACTTGGATGTACCAATGCAGCAGAACTGGAAGCAGCATGGTACCATCAGTGCAGTGCTGTCCCTGATCAATTACCACYACCAAGGTGGAGGATGTATAAACACAGGTGTAGCATCAGTGTGGCTCTCTTGCTTTCAGAATTCATGCTCAGCCCCCTTCCCAGGGATGTATCACCCCCTCTGGAATTAGCTTGATATTTTTTGTGTTGTGCTCCTACRTCCAGACTCTAGTAAGGGCTCCATGCTTTCTGGCTACCAGTGTAACCTTCCAAGTCAGTTCTTTTAGGGCTTTCCTCCTTCAGATTTAAATAAAGCAAGCCCATATRGAAATGAACTTTTTTACTTTTCTGGGACAAAATTCACATCACTCACAAGACTGGGGATGGTATTATACAAAAGTTACCTCTATCTGTGAAACAGTTTTTTTTTTCTTAGAATTATCCTTCCTGAGTTAGATGTATCATTAAGCAATATGACCTGAAACCGGTTTGGTACTCAGCAGAATCAATTTAAACATGGAATACATTGTATATCCTAATTTATTATGCACAGACCTACCARTACTAACACAGATGAAAAAGAACCAGAAGATTGTTAGTTGATTTGTTAATGCACTTAGGTGTCAACAGGTGTGGTCAGCTGGAAAGTGGCAGSTGTTACTGATGTGTTGGTGCTGTCATAGAAGGATGTCCTGCAGAAGCCTTAAATGCAAAGTTAAAATTGACAAGTTGTTGAAATCCCCTATCAGCCACCACATCACAAGTATTCCTCATCTGATTTAAGGCTGGAAATGTGGCAGAATAAAAGCCTAGTACTTAAATATGTGGGTACTAAAATACTTGAACTTAACTCTGATATCTGCACATTTAGGTTTTTATGTTCCATAAAGATGTCATCTTCAAGGGAGGCATCAAACCCTATTTCCATCCCCTGTAGATACTCATTTGTAGTTTCAACTAAAYATAGCACCATCAGATAGCTGTCCAGCTAAACTATTTTATTTGGATCATCATCATATGATTTTTAGCAATGAAGATTTAAGATCATCTAAAAGATTAAGATTAAAAKATCTTCATTTTGGGACCATATACCTTAATAAGAAAAGAATACAATGTGAATACTTAAACAGTAGAAAACACATATTGAAAGTGGGCAACCTAAATAAAAAGTCTGGAACAGTGTGCTATTTTTTACTAAAATATTTAATCCAATTAGTTTCTAGTTGATGTGATATGAAATCTAAAAATAATCTTCACTTTCTCTTTATGTTTTTTYGAATATACTTCATTGCTTTTGAAAGTAAGGGATTAATAACACTTGGGAAGGGAAAGCASTGTAGATTGGCACAAAGTAAATTTTTCCTCAGCACAAAGCTGGTTTACCATACATGGTTTTATTATACTTGCATGAGTCCTGAGCTACAAAAACCCATCTTTGCCAATTCTCAGAAATCACTGATAGAAAAGATTTGTGAGATTTTTTAATTCCAGAGCACTGTGATCAACATCAATTCAGTCCAATTAGTAGTTATCATAGTTGTTCCAGTATACTGTCTACTCTGCATTGAGTTATTAGCCCATCTAGTGATGAGAGTTTACTGTATTTCTTAGAAATTTTAAATGAGCATCAGTGCTTCCAAGCCAGCCTGAGTGGCCTCTGTGCTACGACTCTCCTGGTCCTAGGCATAGGTTGTRGAACAGAAAGGACCTGGAAATTCTGGTGATCCAGCAGGTTCCACCAGACTGCTAGAGAGTCAGGAGGGGAGAGGAAARCAAAGCTGTTTTGGTTGGTCACTGAAATTGAATCATCTCCACTAAATTTTTTCATGCTTTGCATCTCAGAATTGTGTTTTTCATTCTCTTTTCTTACCTGCACAAAAGGCAGTATCTAGGCGATGGTCATATAAAGAAAAAAGCACCAAACTGCAGTGAGATCAGAAACACTTTAAATAAACCATTTTTTCAGATGTGGAAATGCATAGGAGGACTGAAGCGTCCTGGAAACAGAAAGCTTGATTTCGTATTTGCCTAACATTTTGGTATGAAGCAGTTAAAATAATAATACTCACAAAAGAATGACTTTGCAGATGTTGCATTTGCAGCAGCAAATCTGGGCCATGCCAGGAAGAATTAGAATAACCTGGACTGTGTGCTTCAGACTAATAACGTGCCGTGCACAACACAAAATCCTGTGCCTGTGGTGAGGGTRTTATTTTGCCAGTGAAGTCTCTCTACCCAGAGAAGATCTATGTCAGAACAGTTTTAAACCTATACCTGATTTGTAAAGTTCAGTCCTCCACAATGTAGACACCAATGCAAACCCAGGACTACAGTACATAAATGTATTATAATGTATAAGAATTGTACATCAGGAAATTACTCCCGGTCTGGCTGCCATACTGATATCAATGCAGCAAAAAGTGTATGGTAGAACAGAAGGTTTTGTGCTAGAGAACAGATAAGTGACATGGATTGAAATTATGGTAAATTTAAATTGATGGCCTAATTAGTATTATCTCTTTTTGTATTCTCTGTAAGAAATATTATCCAGGAGGAACTCATTTTGCATTAATGTTGATATAAAATGTAATTCTGTAGCATTTTCATTGTAATCTGGCATTAATTAATGCATCATTATTTCAAAGTGTTAATTAAATTATTACAGAAAGGGACATCTGACCCAGTTCAGAAAGAAAGAAAGTAAGTATAATGCATGAGAATTAGATGTTCAGAGGTCTGAAATTGAGTGAGTTCTCACAACTCTAGGTATGTGTAGCAGCACAAAAACAAGATGAAATATAGACATGATAAATGGCTCACAAACCACAGTATGGCATCAACATTTTCTCACTCATGATGGAGTCTGATGACAGCATCAGAGCCTCAAAGACAGGCAGACATCAGAAATCTGAAACGGCCAATTCTATAGGGTAAATTAAATAAACTGTACACTAAACTGTACGCTATTAAGAATTACTCACAATGAATTCAGGGAATTAAATAGGGGTATGAAAACAATCACAGCTTCTGCAGGCTCTACTACACACACTGCTGTTGGGCAGGAATACCACTGCTATACAGCCACTGCAGTGCCAGGGCAGTCAAACAGGATTAATCACAAACAGTTCTGCACTCCTCAGTGCTGGTTGTCCTGACCTTCTGCCTGCAGTCCTAAGTGGCTGCAGCGAAGTCTCAAATCAGCATTTCAGTTGTTGTTCTTGTTACTATCAGCTGGGTGGTGGCTGTTTTCACACACAGGAGGAGAAAATCCAAACCTTCACCAAAGAATAGACAGTCTGATCCAATGCCCAGTGAAAGCTACAGAATTCTAACCCTGACTGAGAGAACTGGCATTTAAGCATGCTCCTGAGAGCTGCACAAGCAGACCTCTGAGGGAATGCCACTGGCACCAAGTGGGGCTTTCTGCAAGGGGCCACACAAGCTCTGTGGAACTGGGGTCTCTGTGAATTATTAAACTAGATTAATAATTCACRAAAACATTAGTCTAGAGCATGAAGCAAATCTTATGCAATGTGACCTACCTGCCAGCTATCCACCAGAGCCAGAGTTGCACAGGATACTTCCAGGATGTGGCTTCCATAAGATTCTACACTATTCAACAACTCTGTCTGTTTCAACAATTATCACTTTCTTTTGTTACATTTGGGCTTGCATTGAAAGATCTTTAAAATGTGAAAGTTAAATGAGGCTCTTATAAAGAAGTGGTTTGGGTGCAGTATATTAAAGGAAAACTTCAAAGGAGCTCAAGATACCTTTCAAGCTAAGGTACAAAAATTTAAACAAGAACAAAAGCCTCTCTTGTATTTTGAAGCATTAATTGTTCCACTTCTGTTGATGTAAAGTGAAAGGAGAAGCTTTTAGTTAAAAGTACGTAGTATCAACCAACATGGAATGTTCCAGAGTCTCATGGAATAATTTTAGCTTTGATATAATGGCACAGGTGAGTCTCAAATTATAATGCTTTCTGTAGCATATGCAATAATTTTTGGTAACTGAATCCATTAGACAAACATTAGYGCTTGAGGAGATTATTGGCATAAATCAGAGTTTCACCTTTTATATTTATAAGATATTTCATATTTATAAGGTATTTCATAACTTTGTGAGWGGTGTTTGTCACATAACTTTGTGAGCATTGTTTGATATTTCACAGCTTTGTGAGTGAAGTTTTCTATATCATTATAGTCTGGTTTTCAAAGATAAAACACACAACATTGCACTGTTTGCTCTTTCACCCATCTGTCAGTTCCCCTCCTTTAAGGAAGGGGAAAAATTGTAGAAACTGTAAGGACAAAAAGCCTGCCATACGTTTTATGAAAACTGACACCTGGATAGTAAAGAAAGAGACAAATTGGTGCTTCCATGGAAGAAAGGTTTCAACTGAGAATTTAAAAATTCTGTGGACTTTGGCCTCTCAGGTGGCCAGTCTTGTGAGGAGTTCAGTGCCAACCACAATACGTTASCTTGCCCACTTGTAATTAGTCAAGGTTGCTGTGGAGGGATTTATGAGACACATGAAGTAATTACAAGTCTCACGTGCAAGTATATCATGGAATACACTCAGAGAGGAACAGTGAGTTGGTTTTGTGCAGAGGTAAAGGTAATAG